ATTTAATTTATCGTAACAAAGTAACTTAATTTAGGTTTAATAATATTATTTTTTATAAAAATGATAATTAAGTATTCTGTTAGAACTCAATAATTATCTTAATTATATTTTAGATTTTTTATATTTTAAAATGAGATGTTTATCCTCTATTTGATTATGTTTATCCACAGTTAGTTACACGAATTCAAACATAGAGCTTTAATAAGTTGTACTTATGCACAATTTACTTGTAATCTTGAATTTCAAATAATTTAATCAATAAACAATACTTTATGCATAAAAAAGGTTTTTAAGAGTTTTTGTCAAATGTTTTATAATATAGTATAGATATAAAAATAATTGATATAATTAATAAGTATTGTATGATAAATAATATTTCATTAATAAATAATTATAATTAAAAAATAATAATTAGGAGGTGATAATAAGCTACCAAACCGCTACACAAAATAACGTTTCAATAAGTTAGCTTATATGCACTCAAACGTGTACCCAGAAAATAACCTAGCTTATTTTTGTCAAACAATACCTTAGGAGGTGTTTGGGATTGCTTATGGAAGTTCCTTATTGACTTATTCTGGTGTCATACCAGTAATAAGTCATTTTAAGTATCTGGATGGGGAAGAAAAAAAAGTTGTTTATACCGATGCCAAAACGGTAATAAACAGTTTTTGATAAGTCAATTCCCCATAACTTATCAAATTCAACTTATAAACAATTTACCATTTTAACCATTTTCTAATACCCTTTACCTTTAACCCTTTTCAGTTTTTGATACGAACCAGAGAAATCGAACCCTACGCCTCTCCTTCCTCAAGTGAACGACAATCGAACTTGTGAAATCAGAGAAATCGAACCAAAAATCAAAATCGATTATCGACCTTCTCCTCCTCACATAAGCGACATTCTTCCTCACGTATTTTTGTGATTTCTCCTTATACAATCGATCAATCATGTTGTAATTGTTAATATAAATCGATTTATGTGTATTTCTATAATTTCTCTTAAGAATCGATCGACGTAATTTTTGTTTAGAAATATAATGAATATCATGGGCTAGATATGGTGGCCTGTATACGTATTGACAATAATATGGAAGGATGCCCTTTTTGGTCATTTTACATGTATAAGTAAAATTTGTCAAACATTAAAAAACAACTTATCAACTTATTGCGTTTTGGTACTGCCATTAGCTATATATTCCAAACATTTTCTTTATAAAACTCTGGTTAAATAAGCACTTTTTCAAAAAAAAAAAAAAAACATAAGTTGTTTAAATAAGCAATTCCAAACACCTCATTAGTCTTATTATTTATTTGAACCAACCCTGATATATAGCATGACCCCCTCTCTTTCTCTTTATATATATTATAGGGTTGAGTTCATGTGAGATCATGTTGTTTTCGTAAGACCCATGAAACCACTTTTTAAAACTTAAAACTTACAACAAAACACTGAAGGTAAAAAAATCCAAACATTCACAGCAAAAACACGGTAAACGTTATCTTAGCAGTGTTTTTCTATGAAATTTCTAGTGTAAAAAAGTGGTCTACGAAAACAGACCGGTCTCATGTGATTCCCCCCCCCCCTCTCTCTACACACACACACACACACACACATATATATATATATATATAGTATATAACACAATACATCCATGTACATGTTCCTAATAACGTATATATGTATGTATGTATGTATGTATGTATGAACATGTATACATACATATGTATGCATGATGTATATGTATATTATATACATACATTTATACATGCTTATGTAGTGTGTGTATAGGGTGACATAATTTTGAGAACCCATGAAATTGTAATAACCTTAAGAATTATTATATCATGTGTTATTTCATATGACCTTTTTTTTAATCTAAGACTAGGATTTAGAATATTGATTAACATATATTAGTTTCACAATATATTTGTATCATATGTATTTGTTTCACATTGTGTTTGTATCATATGTATTTTTTTCACAAGGTAAATCTTTTTAACTTGTTTGTGAACCAAAAGTTACACGTAAAATTTCACTTTGTGAACCTAATTCATATGAAACAAACAAATTGTGAAACAAATGTATGTTCATCAATATATTAAATGCTAGCCTTAGATCGAAAAAAATCATGTGGAACACATTGTGAAACAAATATAGTAAAAACGTTACGCCATTCAAACCACTCGCATACAATGACATCACTTCTCCTTGCCACTTCTCGTCGCCCCACGTTGTCTATTCTATTTACCATCCATTGTCGTCATTAGTCTCCACCATCGATCTCCCTCTTTTTGATATGTTTTTTCCTTTCGATTCTTCCTATTTTATAACAATTTAATGGATTAAAAAAAGATAGAGAATAGAAAACAAAAAACAATAAAAAGTTGAATTTTTAGTATCGTATTAAATTCATGGACTCATTTTAAAAAGTTGAATTTGTGACCGATTTTGAAAATCTAAGTTACTGAGAGATTCAAAATCCTATTTGTCCGATTGAGCATTAAATCTGTTATAGCCCCATCCCAAAAGCCTCCTCAAACATTGGTGAGAATCCAATGTCCCGAAAAGCTGTTCGCAAGGGACAACTTGATCCTCTTCCCCAAGGATCCTTACCCATTCAGTGACTTTGGCACTGGACGTTCCCCAAATGGATACTCCGCGAAATCGAAATTGAAAATGAACGCTACTCTGCTGCTAGCCGTCGTCTCTCGTCATTCATAACCATTGCGATGAAGCTTGGTTCAGTGTTAAGGGAAACTACTAAGTAGCCACCAAATTCATCTTCCATCATTCAACTTTTATCAGTTTATTGAGGTACCGATTTGCATCTTTCGCTCTTTCATGCTTAAACTTGTGTTTCAAGGGTTAAAATGAACGAAATCCTCCAGAAATTATGTGCTTCTCACTTGTTTCTCATGTCTCAAATGCTTAAATTCCCTTTAAGGTTGATTTGGGTCTTTGTTCTATGTTTTCCATTTTGAGGCTC